ACCTATCTACTGACATGTGACCCGACCAGCACCCATCTACTGACACGTGACCCGACCAGCACCTATCTACTGACACGTGACCCGACCAGCACCTATCTACTGACATGTGACCCGACCAGCACCGGACTGCGAGGAATAGAGCAAGGTGACGCTGCAAGTATCTGATCCCCGGCGCCCCGGTAGCTGGGACTGAGCCATAGGGAACGAGTGACGTCACCCCGGCACGCGGCGGGATCTGGATTACCGTTTTCGACAACTCCAAATCTTTCTGCTTCTTCTCAAACACGTCGTCGTCCGCCTTGTCCTTCTCAAACTCCTTCTGGCAGCGATTTAGCAGCAGTTTGCGGAAATTCACCGTGCTCCCCGGCTTATCGGTCATCGGCACCTTTAACTAGAAAAGAAGAAGAGGAAGAGTCTATAATACAGAGTCAAGGACAAACCTCGTCACCAACTCCCGGGGACCACTATGAAGAGATGTGATGGGCTCTCTGACCGCCGGGGATCACTATGAAGAGATGTGATGGGCTCTCTGACCGCTGGGGATCACTATGAAGAGATGTGATGGGCTCTCTGACCGCTGGGGATCACTATGAAGAGATGTGATGGGCTCTCTGACCGCTGGGGATCACTATGAAGAGATGTGATGGGCTCTCTGACCGCTGGGGATCACTATGAAGAGATGTGATGGGCTCTCTGACCGCTGGGGATCACTATGAAGAGATGTGATGGGCTCTCTGACCGCTGGGGATCACTATGAAGAGATGTGATGGGCTCTCTGACCGCTGGGGATCACTATGAAGAGATGTGATGGGCTCTCTGACCGCTGGGGATCACTATGAAGAGATGTGATGGGCTCTCTGACCGCTGGGGATCACTATGAAGAGATGTGATGGGCTCTCTGACCGCTGGGGATCACTATGAAGAGATGTGATGGGCTCTCTGACCGCTGGGGATCACTATGAAGAGATGTGATGGGCTCTCTGACCGCTGGGGATCACTATGAAGAGATGTGATGGGCTCTCTGACCGCTGGGGATCACTATGTAGAGATGTGATGGGCTCTCTGACCGCTGGGGATCACTATGAAGAGATGTGATGGGTTCTCTGACCGCTGGGGATCACTATGAAGAGATGTGATGGGCTCTCTGACCGCTGGGGATCACTATGTAGAGATGTGATGGGTTCTCTGACCGCTGGGGATCACTATGTAGAGATGTGATGGGCTCTCTGACCGCTGGTGACCACTATGAAGAGATGTGATGGGTTCTCTGACCGCTGGGGATCACTATGAAGAGATGTGATGGGCTCTCTGACCGCTGGGGATCACTATGTAGAGATGTGATGGGCTCTCTGACGGCCGGGGATCACTATGTAGATGTGATGGGCTCTCTGACCGCTGGTGACCACTATGAAGAGATGTGATGGGTTCTCTGACCGCTGGGGATCACTATGAAGAGATGTGATGGGCTCTCTGACCGCTGGGGATCACTATGTAGAGATGTGATGGGCTCTCTGACGGCCGGGGATCACTATGTAGATGTGATGGGCTCTCTGACCGCTGGGGACCACTATGAAG